ATAAACGACAGATTCTGTGACTGAACACTCCTAGCTACAACTATGCTCCTTAGTTCGCGATCGAATCCAGTGAACTGAAGTGACCCCAAGTGTCTGAGGCATCGAAATTTCCGAGCGCGATCGTCATGTTCTCCGGAAATCTCCTCCGACCTTCCGCTACCCGCTCCGTGAAAATATTATCCCTGAATGCTGTTTTTGCTATCCGTTGCGGCTCTCTATAGAGCTCGCGGAGCAGTCGATGGAACATTAGAACACCTGCACATCCACGACGGGAAGAGAGAGACTCGAGGAAAGAGGAGGACACATAATGTTTTACGGTTCTACACCTGATTTGTTGACCCTTGCTGCCGATATCTTCGGAATCGCGCATGACCATCCGCGCCAGTTCTTTGTTTCTCGGAAGACTGTATGCCTAAAAAACTTTGACCACAGAGTGAAATATCTCGGCTTGACCCATCCTGTATAACAGTCGACGTGTCCTCACGAGCGCTCGACGTCGGTAGAAAATTTTCCTCTTTGAATATCCCGAACGGAGGACGCTCCTAGCGCGATAGAATCTGCGGAATCTCCTTCCGGAACGGTCCGTCCCTCCCTCTTTGTCCTGTCTCGTCAACCGTCATCTTCAGGTCGGAGCGGAACTTCCACAGATCGAAGAGAAGGAACCAGATTGAGAGACTGTTTTTTTGGGTTTTCCGCGGACATGGTGGGGGAGAAGTGGACTTGCCACGTCCGCTCGAAGTCACGTCCAGCTTCTTCAAGAATATTTCCCTCTCTTGAGCCGATGCGTTGGTCCCCAGTTTTTTCTCAGTGATCTCGGCGGAGCAACGGGCTATTCGTTGTTGTGGGCCAGGTGTTCTCTTGTTTGAGGGATCTGTTGGAATGAACGACAGTGAAGATGGTGAATCTCAGTCCCCATCTCACATTCACCCCGACCACATCTTCCGGACCGTCCAGAACTCGAACCCCACATTTTAGAATAACGATAATCCCTAGATAGAATCAATTAGATAGACAGGGTTCTGTTTCATTCATCAATGAAGCCCTCTTAGGTTCCTCTCTCATTCGATAGGTACATGAAGACCATAAAATACATAAAACCACAGAATGAAGCACTGTCCGCCATCCGGTATCCTGCTCTCAATCCCTGTGTGTATTTCATCACTGCTTCTCGTGCGGTCTGAACCTCTACTCTCGATCAGTGCCAGCTTCTGACTAGAGCACAAAGCTTGGAGTCACAAAATTCGACAGGATCGAATCCGCGAGCGCATCCGTCATGGATCTCGAAAGTCTTCACCAAAGTCTCGCCACCCTCGGCGTCAAAATATTATTCCTCAATGCTGTTGTTCTGAGCGTTTTCCTTATCAGAGAAGAGAGGAAAACTCGTTTTATCTGTAACGTGCTCATCGACGCTCTCTCGGTGATACTTCTGCTATCCTTCGCGGCTTTCTATCGAGCTCGCGGAACAGTCGGCGGAATTCTCGAACACCTCGACGACGAGACTCATTCTGATATCTACGGAGAGATCTTCAAAAGCTTGGGGATCACCGACCGCGTTTGTCGAATGAGATTTATTTGCGAAACGTCCCAGAGTCTCTCGAGCGACGCTTTCGCATCATCCGTCAATATTCTCACGGCTTTCGGAACCCTCCGAGGAGACTACATGGAAGCAGTTCTCAACGGGATCCACGGAATAAACTGCTCGTCGCTGTATTCAATGTGTAAGGAGTCACCCCTGGAGAGAACGTTCCCGTTTCTTATGGACCAACACTGAGAGTCTGTGGCGGCCGTCGCAGGCTTTCCGATCCCTATATACTTAGAACGACGAAGTCAATAAACTATTCATTCTGTAGTCGCTCACTCGACAACGTGTCACTCCTCACTAAACGCTGAGCCGCTTCAAGTCGCGCTCACGCAAAATCCAGTCAATTTATTTTGACGACGCTCGGAGGCGTCCAGGGAGCCACTGGCCCTCCCAGTGGAACGAGAGAGTCTCCACGAAAGAAGAGAGCACATAATATTTGAAGCTTGCCTAGTTGACCATCACTGTCGGTGTCTCGTGAGACTCCGACACCTTGCCTTCAACCGGAAAACCAGATGTGAATTCTTCCGTGAGCGACGATGATGTACATATGAACGAATGCTTTAACAAAAGATCGAATCGTCGGTCGTCCCGACGATTTTGAGTCTTTCTTCGGATCGTGACGTTTCCACTACGAGTCGAGAAAGCTACATGCTAAGCCGGGAACCATCAGAGAGGCGGGATCCGCAGTTTGAATGGCAACCAGTCGGCCTGATTCGAATTCGCCATGACAAGGTATCGAAGGACGGGGCGAACCCGACTGGCTGAAACCAAGTGCTACCTACCTACCTGCTCGAGACTGCGCACGACTCGGGAGGGCGGGATCGTGACGTTTCCTTCACGAGTCGAGTGGGTAACAACGCATGTACGAGTGCTTTAACCGAAAATCGTATTGTCTGTGGTTCCGAAACTTTTCTCGACGTGGAACGTCTCTAAAAAGGTTGGGGTAGTAGGTCGCCGAAAGTGTGTGACGGAAGAATGTGACGAAATTTGTCCATTTCCAACGCCCCACGACTCGGTCCCACCTACACCGATCGACACCCGGTTGGTGTCATGAGATCGCGAATTTACGGGAAATTGAGTTCATATGATTCCTACAGAATTTCCCCGCGCGCAGATCAATCACTCGCCCCCGAATGACACCCCATCCGAGATCAGAATTCGCCCGCGAACCGTGAATATGGCTGCTTGGGAGAGGGCGATTCCGAATTCCCAGCGCGCGAAGTGGCCCAACGACTAGCGCAATACCTCTCAACGACGAGCCATCAGCGTGCCAGGAGATGAGAGAGATTCGACCGCAGCTTTGAGCTCAATTTTGATTTTGTGGAGGCCTTCAGCCTCAAGTTTAGTTTGCACGCAAGACCAATGTATGTTTATACTCTGCGCTCATGTGAGCTCAAATTCTGGCTGCGCTCAGATTGAGTCAGCGCTCGAATTCACTCGTGCTAGAAACTCACATAGCACCCATTCAGGAATCATCGAAGACGTTTCACGTGCCCACGTGTCACTGACAATACCTGCGGTTTTTTCGAAGAGAACAGGTTTATTGATTTCATTTATAGGGTCACTAGCCGTGAGGGCGCTTCGCGCCCCCACAGCCTTAAGGAAATCCAATGCTTTTCGTTGTCCAAGGGGAAGGGTATGCAAGCAATAGACATCTTGTTCCTTGTTCCTCTTTGAGTCTGGACTACATAATTATCGTGAATGAGGTGTGTTGGGAGGGGCTCATTCTCGTGAAGATTATTTGTAAAGTCTCGAAGTAGGAAAAGGTCTGACTGCGCTTCACAACCGCGCATGGTTCCAAATCCACGCGCAGAGAGCCGGAGCCTGACGGGACCGGCCAACGTTGTGGCTTACTTTCCTAGCGCGGGGTGACGCTTCCGAACGAAGCGGACGGATTTTTTTTTACACGGGATCATGGGCACCTCACGGCATTCCGAGCACCTCTTCTCAGAGCCGCAGCCCCGGGAAACGCCGCTCGGCACGCTCGCTGAACGCTGAAACGAAACGAGTCGAGGCTCCTTCCTTGATACAGGTTCCGATTGCGAAGCTAGTTCGATGTAGACTGTGGGCTCGTGCCCGTAGAACTGTAAAAAAGGTGACCCGATGAGTACTGATGACATCATAGAAGCGGCTTTGCATTTTGTGAAAAATAACGATTACTGCACAAAAACGTGAATTTCACGGAAAACATGCGTATAAGCAGCTTGAGAAGTATATCTTGACCTCACTGGAGTGATTGCGCATCGATCGGGAAAAGGGGTCTCTTCGAAGTTTCCTTCACTTATCATCATCGAAAGTTTCCTTGAAATGAGTGTGATGATGACATCATAGTGAAGCGGCTCTACATTTTGTGAAAAATAACGATTACTGGAGAAACACGGAAAACATGCGGTTAAGCAGTTCGAAAAGTATATCTCGACCTCACTGGAGTGATTGCGCATCGATCGGGAAAATTTGGGGTCTGATCGGAGGTGGAGAGCTCCAGAAAGTGGTCGGGTTTCAGGCAGACATAGCGCTTTTTTATTATATAGGGGGATTATACATATGATACTCCAAGAGGGACGCACACGTCCGAGGTACGGATGTATTGGATTCTATTATCGGATCGTGACGTCTCTACTACGAGTCGAGAGGGCAATATGCTATGCCGGGAACCATCAGGGGACGCGGGAGATTTTATGCGCGGCGCGAATGGCGACCAATCGGCCTCATCCGAGTTGGCCATGATAAGGCATCAAAAGACAGCGCACACTCAACTGACCGACACCAAATGCTACCTACCTATCTGCTCGAGACTGCGCACAAATCAGGAGAGTAGGATCTGGAAGACCATTGGGATCAGGGAAACCGTATCACACGTATCCTTTTCACTCCTCTTTGCGATGAGCTATTCCCATGTGGATCGCAATGCTTCCAGTTGGGCTCATTCTGCAATACGGCATCTACACGCTCCTCGTGGGATTGCGGAGGATCGACATCTTCTTGGGGCTGTTTATGGCACGGAATGGAAGTGACTTGTCTCAGTACAGCGTGATATCTCGCGCTTCATGGGAATCACAATCTCGGAATCCCCCTCACGAGACTGGACAGAGTCGCCCGCTCGAAGTTTCGGCAGAGATCATCGGGATCATCGACATCACTTTTCCACCGGGAGATTTCATATCCTTGTTCCACACTGTGCCCCCCAATTCTGTCCGCGTGCTTTCCTCAGACTTGTTACACGCACGATTGTACGGCGTCTCAGACAAACCTTCAATTGCGAGGGAAGCTCGAACGAAGTCTCTCGGAGTCGGATAATCGAAACTCAGGCATTAACAGCTGATCGAGAGGCGCGGGGTCGTCCATGTCCCCTAGTGGTTCCTGAGCAGCATCACAGTATATTCCGTAAAGAACGCCTATTGATATTCCCGGCATTAGGATGCTAGCTCGGAAAGTCCTCTCCTCAGGAGCGCTCTCGCGAGCGACAAGAAGCAGACCCATCAAGCCATCGGAGCGCACCCTCAGCATCCTCTCGTGCGCGAAACTGACCACCAGAGGTGAGACCCTGTCCCACCCGACTGATATATGGAGAATATCGTTCTTGATCGAATTTACCAGCGGCTCCTGGTCTCCTTTGCGAGTCCGGCGCAAAACGGGGCAGAGAGGTCTCGTCCATGCTGGTCTCAAGCAGGCTATCGACCGTTTCGCTGTGGAGCGATGATCAAAAGTTTTCTCTGACCCCTTCACAGTGCAGCGAACCGGGATTGATATCGACGGAGAATAAATCTTCACCTAGAATGGATCCGTGTGGATCAGCTTAGAACTCAGAGTTCCCCCACCCTGCGCGATCTGCTCCGCTGGATGAATTCGAACCATCTAACGCCTGTCGTTTCCCATTGCAGTGAACCCAGAAGTCTCTACTCGCCGACGCTACGCCGTCCCCGGACAAGGTAGGATACCAATGAGCCATGGAAGTTCACTGTACTCCGGAGGGGATGACTGACGAATTCGTCTGATTCCCTACCGAGAAGACGAAGAATGTTGCGCTTCTCTCGAATCGCATTATCGCATCTATCCCTAGAAAACTACCTTGCGTTCCAGGGCTTTCGAACATCCGGCTCTTCAGCACTCCGCCTGAGGAAGGAGGTGAGTATTGACATACGGACGGAGTAGAATACGAAAGACGCTGTTCGCAGCTTACGATGGGCTTCCTCAATGCGAGTGGGGACTCTCTTGAACCATGATGAGCTGAAAACCACGGAGCCTTTTTGTCCCTCACAGAGATGTCACATGCCGAGTTCAAAGAATATATCGGGGGCCACTTCGCGCTCATCGTAGACGTACGAGAACCTCACGAGTTGAAAGAGGATGGGAGGATTTACGGTGAGGTTCGAAGGGTTCGCTGCCGACTTTCTATGCTGTCTCAAGTCCCGCGACCGGGTTGCGCACTAGAGCGATGAGCAAGTCATGAAACGAAGCATACTCTTCCAGGAACTGTCAATATACCTCTCGGCCAGCTAGAGGATCATTTGAAACTCGGTCCGAAGCTACTCGCAAGGAAGTACCATTTAGCTATAGACTTCGTGGAGGGGGGAGGCAACTTCATATTTCTGTGCAAGGCTGGCGTCCGAGCTGCTAAAGCCGTAGAGATTGCAAGGAAGAACGGTTTCCCCAAGTGAGTTCCCTCCTGATGTTGCGGTATCCAGATGCCATAAGCAGGTTGGATCCCTCCGATAAGGGGGAAGGAGCTTAAATATGAAGAAGACGTGGAATTGATTGAAGCGACCCCTCAAATTGAATTGGTCATTCCTTCCAGAGCTAGATTCTACAAAGGGAGTATCCTCGACTGGAAGGCGAGAGGGGAGCCAATAATCAAGAACTAAGTGACCGTCTTGCGGATAGGAACTCCGACTCCTTCCGGGATGTGTTCGCACTTCTCACTTTCGATAGGGAAAAAACTTGTACAATAAAATTTGAGGAATATAAATATTCGTCAAAGCCCCTTCACGTATCGGAGACCAGGAATAATGACACTTGCATCTAATGAAGAAACTCTACCAGCGATTTGCTTCCGTGCTATGATCGGATCAGTCCGGAATCGATCCATTCCAGAGATTATCCTCGACGAGATTCGGTAACGGCCGTGACGATTCGTGTCCCACTCCTACAGAGCTGATCCGAATGCGGTGATCGAGCGCGATTACAATCGCATCTAGCGACAGAGGTGCTGACAGGACACTGCGAACCCAAAAACATGGGCGAGTGCAGAGGAGCCCTGGCTAGTTACAAAAAGCGAGAGAAAAACGATGCGACTTCAGAATGGGAAACACCAGAGGAGAGAGCGGTCTCCGATCGTAGGAAGCGGGTGTTCTCAAGTAGCTTACGGCTCAGCTTCTGTCGCGCTTTTGTGGCGGATGCACAAGTCGATAATCAGAGATTTCCGTCACCCTTTCGTCGATCGAGTTTCATCGACATGATGGCCTTCATCTTTTGCTCGGCTGGCTGACTGACTGCTCGCCAACTCAGTTACTTGGTCGAGGTGCGAACAATTTGCATGTCACCGGCTCAAAAGCGTGACAGGATGATTGACAGCGACTGTGTACCAGAAAACTCCTTGAGTTTCAGCTCTCATTGGACTCCGTGAAAATAAGAGTGCGAGCGAGTGGGAAAGCGACGACAGCATGCTTAACTTCTCGAAAGTTTTCGACAAGAGCGGACAAATAGCACAGACCAAGTACCTGAACGATCAGAGAGCTACCGAGTCAGCGATCGGCGGACGAACCACTCATTAGTGTGACGGTCACTATGTGGTCATCGTCCGAGGTGTTGCTGTCGCTCCGGCCGTAACTCGGAAGCTGCTGCGCCGCTTCTTGCGAATGACAGAAAGACAGAAAGCCGAGGACCGTAATTGAGATCCGTGAAAGAAATCGGTTTCTCCTTTCATCGCTATGCTCTAGGACCTCATCCATCGGGGCTGTGTCTCTTCAAGCCAGAATATACCTCCAGTTTCGTGATACCGCTTCCTTGTCCCTGAATGCTTCCCCGATGCTCGACCAGTTTTGAAGTAACGTCGGAGACTGTGAATCAGCACGGCGCCATCGTCCGGCTCTATGAACACGAAATGTCGTTCCAATGTTCCGCGTGGCTGATCGAGAGAGGCCGAATGAAATCTGCGTCGAACCAATATCCCTCTCGGTGCATAGGAGCCGAGCAACCAAACTCACAACTCTCTGCCCTCAGAGGGACTCCCGCTCTGTGCGAGACTCATCGGTGACGCGATGCCTCGCGTCTCTTTTTTTTCTGCAGTCAAACCGACGGGATCGCCGATGCGGCTTGAGCGAGCCGACAGGAGGAATGGTGGAGTTTCGAAAATCATTCCAGAACAAAATCTATAAGGTGAATGTGAATCTTTTTGAAAGGAATCAACAGATGAACGAAAAATCGTTCGATTCCTCCGCGCAGAACTCGGGTGACTTCCTTTCTCGAGTTAAGTGGTTCCGATCAGAATACATTGGTCGGGGGTCGCAGGGGTATCGGGGAAGTCGGGAGAGGACGAAGAGAGAACATTTGACCTGAAGCGCGAATATTCGTGTCGGCTCAAAGACCAAAACGGCCGACAAATTGGGGTGATATGTCACAACAGCTATGTGAAGGAATGCGGGAGCCACAATCAAGAATCAATGCGAGTCACTTCTTTCCAATTTCGAATTCTTTTTCAGCGGTGTATGCAGAGCTCTCCCGATCTTCACTCAGTCGCGAGATCGGCGTTCGAGAACCGACACGTTGATCGAGAGTGAGCCCGAATTCATTCGACGCTCGACGGATTGCTCATGGCAGAGGTCGGCCCCAATTCACATCTAATTCCGAGTATGAGAATTTCGATAGCACCGCTGCGTCTGAAACTAATGGAGATCTAGTTGAGCCTTATGGACCCTCTCTGTACAAACGCGTATGGTGGCGCGATCTGTTGGAAAGTCTGCCGTTAGATAAATAAGCAGCCACTCTATGAAAGATCATGATCCTGTCAGGGAGATCGGACGCTCGTTGGTGAGCGGCCAACGAGCTCACTGACGAACTGGAAATGCCTGAGGCGAGAGTCCCGAGTCCGAATGGCACGCTCGGAAATCCTGTACAACATTTGGCCTCCTGACCGGCCAGGTCCGACCACCGGTCGGATTCCCTTCGTCGATCTTCTTGTCGGCTCAAGCGACCGTACACTGGAACATGTCGGAAGAGTCCCTCTGACTTGAAGACGTGCGCCTCGCTCCAATCTGCCGCGAGCAGAAGCCAAGTATGGCCTCTCTGTGCTCAATAGACAAGGAATAAAGTTCGTCGTTATACCATATGTTCTTCAATACATCGGTTATATCGGCGATCGAATGCGGTTGGTTGTCTCCCTAATTGTGATTCAATCGAGGCGGAAATGTGAGGGTGGGCAGGCAAGGGTCAAGGGACTCCATTGGACTGTAATTCGAGAAAAAAACAATCATCAATACTCGCTTCCGAAGGACTCGGACGACGGACGGAGCTCTCGGGAGAGGAACGAGGTATCGAATCTGCACCTCCGTAGCGGGGGCTTTCTGGAAGAAATTCGGGAGAACTCCTCGTCGTTCCGCGAATCCACGGCCCTTGAAAACTTTCCTGTCTCCGGAGGCGACTTTCAAGTCTCATTGTTTGTTCATTTATATTTAGTACGACGTGCGAGAGAGCGCTCGACGCGGTGTCTGCGCTTTTAAGCCGGAGTTAGCCGTGTCATCGTCGGCCGCCGCGAAAGAGTAACCAGATACGCGGGGGTGATCCGATGTATTCACCGAGGAATATGTCACCCAGTATTCTACGTAATACCCGCGAAAGTGACTCTACATAAATCTGCCACCGAAAGAGTTGACACCTCGGGGGAGCCTGCTGCGAGTCTAACGATCGGTCATAAAACTTTCCAGCTTTATGAACTGTTAAGTTCGAAGGGGGGAAGCCATCACGATCTGGACGTGGCTCGACGTCACAGCGATACAGACGCCGCGAAAAGCTCTCTCGATTCTAGGAGGAACGAACCGAGAGCTCAGAGGAAGTCACCGGAACTAACGAAAGTCTAGCGAGGCCAATCCCGTGACTCTCGATACTAGATAAATCCTTCATTCCTTATTTTGGATTTGGGATACTCGCGAATCGAAAACTCGACCTGCGACCTCGAACCGAGAAATAGGGCCACGGATCCGAAGCAGGTCACCTAATGAGCGGGATATGCGATGAATATATCTGACGACGTTCTGTTGACATTGGTGTGACTCTCAGGAAGGATATAGCTGTCTCATAAATTCTCTATTTTTGCAGCGCGAGATCCCGAGGAGGCATGCGGCGAATCGAACGTCTCCGAGATCGTTGTAGTTTTTGTTCTGCGTAGTATCGGTCGGGCTGTGACAAGCTAATCGCTCGGCATCCCGAGGACTTTCTGAGCTCGGAGCCCTTCTTCGTTCGGTGATCAAGGCCCTGGCCTCGCGTATTTTGACGTCTCTAGCGGGCGCAATCCAGTATTTCCGCTGAGCTAAAGATATACCTCTCACTGCTTGGATTCTAGGAGGTCCGCGTCACTGTTCTCGTGGCGCTCCATCTTCGATCGGACAATAGGCAGATGTGCAGAAGTGTCCGGCAATAGGGTGAGATGCTTCACTTCTCCGTAGACGAAGATTTTGTTTGCGCACAGTCGCCTAAGTCTAATTTATGGCGCGGAGTGACCTTAAGTACAATGACCATAGCCTGCTTTGCTAGGATGAGACAAATGCAGAGATCCACACTGTCTCTCAGTTTTTAGATGAGATCGTCCAGACGGAAAAGCTGTACGTGAATGTCATATTAGTTCCCACCGTGTACCACGAGTTTCTGCTTTCATTTGTACGATCGCGAACGGAGGGAGAGAGAGAAATGCGAAGAGAGATAAGTGTTTTTCTCAGCACGAGTTCGCTATCGATTACGCTTGGTCAAATACTTGCCCAGATCGAATCAAGGCCGTTCGGCTCTCTTCGACCCCGGGATCCACAGTGAAACAGCGGAAGCTAGCCTCGGGCAGCCGCAGTTCGAGGCGTATGATCTTGTCTCCCAGAAGTTTCAACTGCAATGATAAATTGTATTGTTAAAATACTGATGATGACCGGATCCCAACGTCAACGAACGAGTATCACACGAGTCAGGCTTTCAGGGAAATCTCTCGGGAGAGAGAAGAGCAGAATACTGGATGATGGTTTGTCTGGAAGATCAGGAGGCTCGCCCATGCTCTGCGTTTTTTAAGGCTGCTCAGAGTCGCGAGAAGCGGGTAAAAAATGGAAAAGGAACGATTCGCGTCCGGCCACTCAGCCCCCTTTGGTGGGAGTTGAGAATCTCCCCGTATTTCCATTCTAATGTCTTCGATTCCGATCCTGGACGAGAGAATGCTCCACTAGACGAGGGTGCGCGGTTGGGTCCTGTCGGGAACATAAAACCAGAAAATCTCTGCGGCAACGAGGAACGAAATGCTTGTCACGGGGAAATGCTTGTTACGCGAGAGAAAGTCACTCCACGGGAAGAAATCTTTGAATTGGGAGCAGCTTCTCGAAAGAGTGAGTGGATTGCGATTACCAATCGGGAGCGCGGTATCGACAATCGTTAGGTTCCCTAGATCAGAAGAGAAGCAACCCAATACATAAACACCAATCCGAGTCTTCACGAGCGTGCGGGGGCCGTCCCGGGAACGCAAGGATTTGAATCCCACATGGAAGCCCCGGATCGGCGCATCGGGTTGTTTTTGTCCCATCACAGCATATCATCCGGTTGCTGTCATCAGATTTCTCAAGCCATATCAGCAGCGGGAGAACTCGGTAGCTCCTGCGTCATGCACGCGATCCCTAATCGGAACGTGATTATTTGGGTGAGAGAGACTTTTTCCATGGAGACTTCCTGGAACAACTCAAAGGAGAAGTCGAGGCTCGTCTCGCCTCCGCCCCCTGGGAAGTTTCCTTGACTGGCTGGTGTTACATTTAAATGAATTTCCGCCCGAAAACACGATCATTGATTCGCTCTGAACCAGATCCGAACCCCGGTGAGTACCCCCGATTCTCTCCCGATGGGAGGAGCTCGCGATCTGCTTAAAAGCTTCGATCACCGGTGCTAGGTCGTTCACAGCCGACAGTGGTTCCTCTCTCTCGGATAACAGCTTTTCTCATCGCGGGACTCCTCCATATCAAGGTGAGCACCATCCCGTTGCCTTATCGCTGAAGCCTTTCGAGCCGGTCAGGTTTTCGTCCTCCCTCGTCGCTGGGAATTTGTTCCATCTCTTGAGGGTCGTGGAAGTCGAGATTCGAAGACCTCCTGCGTGAAAAAGACGAGACCATCCCCTAATGAGAGTTATGGGCTCACACCCAGGAAGGGCAAGCGATTGACAGGGAACTCTCACACCCATCCGATGGCTCATCGATCGATCCCATTGCAGATGCTGTTCGACTCCGCGCCGTATACTTGTTCCGACGAGGACAGTTCATCCGACTGCTCCCGTAAACGGGTCTTGTCGCCGGGGACGGGGGAACCCGTTGCCCCTTGTCGCGTAAAACGTACCCGACGTCTACGAGCGAACGATCGAGAGCGCAACCGAATGCACAACCTCAACGATGCTCTCGACCGACTGCGAACGGTTCTGCCCGCGTCGAACGACGATTGCAAGCTGACCAAGATTGAAACTTTACGTTTCGCCCACAACTACATCTATGCGCTCAGCGAAACGCTGAAGATGCTCGATGGCAAATATGAACGTTTCAATCCGGTTCTAGCTGCGGTCGCGTTACAAGGAAGCCAGACGAAGACCTGCGATGCGACGCTCAAAGCCACGATACGGAAGGAAATCGAGGATTCGAAGTCCCTGTCGCCGAGTCTCCTGTCGACGCCCGAGTATTCGACCACGTCCAGTCCGCCCTCGTACGATCAGATCTATTCGTGTTGACGAATTGTCGGCTCTCAGCCCGTTAGCGGTCTGTGTAGCATCGTTTCAGTCAACGACAAATGACGGAGCCCAGCGGTGTGTTTTGGAGTTGGCCGCTTTTGAAATCAAATGGTGTATCCTTTACCTTCTCCATGCTAGACATTCCGAGATGCCGAAAATGTCACGATGAACGCTAAAGAGCCCAGTGATGATATCTAGTGCAGATGTAAATAATATATGCGAACTTTATCATTCCTATCGTGTCGTTCCACGACGTATTTCCATATAGGTTGGCAAAGCGGTAGTTATCAATGACTCTTCAGAAAAATGATATCGCAAGAGATAATTAGTGCAAATCGAATAAATAATTGATCTCGTCGTTTCACATCGAGATGGGAGCGACTAGATCAGCAGTCAAACGAAACCTTCCGAGATCCTTCATATATTTGCCCGAATCGCAGTCATTTCCCAGAGAAACCCTCCGACACTCCATCGATGATGATTATTTTCTTAAGGAATAGAATGGCGTTGCGAGAGACAGCCAAGAAGGCGCGGAGAAGCGATAGAGAAGACGCATTTGAAGACTTTGCCTTCAGTTGGAGTCGCGAATGTCGGTCCTGGGCTCTTGAACTCCACCGGTGAGAGCCATATTCGTCGAGGAAGGTCAAATTTATGGGACTGCCTGTGAAATTCGCCTCGCTCAAGTCTGCGAACCACCGACGGATTATTGCCGGGGAAGATCCGCGATGATGAGTCGCCTGGTCGATATTTGAAATCCCTCGACGACGATCGCGGCATCGTCCAAACTTGGCAGGAAGTAGTGCTTGCACTGTTGTTCGGTACCGGTACTGTTGTTGTCAGACAGCGACACCTCCCCCACATTTGTCTCTTCGGCTGTCTCATATTTCACCCGTTGTCTACAAGTTCAATTGAGTGTGACGATTGCTGCCAGCTGCGGCAGCCGCGCCCAGCTGAACGGGTGGAGGAACCGAAACCTCGGTCAGACTCGCAGCGGCGGCCGAAGTTTCGAGCCAGGATCGCCTGAGGAATCACCATACCTTCCAACGCATCCGTTCTCCTCTTTACCCTGGTTTCTTCGGCATTGAATACCGCCGAAATTGCAGAGGATCCTAATTTGCGCTCGGTTATCCCCTAGAAAACCCTGAGGTCGTTGATTATCTCGGTTCAGTTTGCGTCGACATCGTCGCTCGGTTAAAGAGGCATCGAGTCCTTCTAATTGGTCGTCACTCCTGGGTCTGACAGGCACACGTGAGCCTCAACTCTGGATCCGAATCGGGCATTGACCAGAGACTCTCGCTCGGAGGAATCCCCACCAAATTGGAACTTCCCAAATTACGCGAGATGTATCGATCGCAATTTCACGCTGAGCTCACGGCTCAGAAGGCAATTTTCGAGCCACTGATTGTTTGCAGGAGGGACTGGAGGAACGTAAGGTCGGCTAGAGGGACACATGGCTGCGAAAGGCCCTGCTTCCGGAGTCGGACCACCTGTTGCTGCTCTCCTCCGAGTTCAGAGAGATCGCGGAGCCAGCTAATACAGATATCGATCCGCGAATATCAACGCAGGTTCAATTGGAATTGCCGAATGGACATACAGAGTACGAAATCCGTGAGTCGACGACCTTTTGTTGACGCGACCCCTAGTTGACCAGGTCGTTAGATGCACACCTTCATGCTTTGATGCTTTCGTGGCATATGCTGAACCGGATGGCGTACGGCTTCTCGTTTTTTTCGTTTTCTGCTTCCTTCGCTATGTTTTCATTTCAGAACGATCGAAAAAAAATTGAAAAAGCATATCGTTGAACCTGCGAGTCGAGTTAGGTGTCTCGGGCGGTATATCGACTGTCTGGACGCCTTCCTCTGTTTACATAGCAACTCATCAGCGTTGGGAGCTTTGGGCGTGACCGTCTCGAACGATTCGAACACAATTTTACAACTGGAATCGATTGTAAACTTGTCTCCAGATCAACAGATCTTGAGGGGAATTGCATGAGCTAGCAACCGATCCTCATGGCAATGGAACCGCTTCGCAACAAAAGCTTCGACAGTCAAAAGCCTCTGGTAGGGAACCCCTTCGCATCATATTCAACGTTAGAATCGGGGCGAGAACGGCTATGGGGAGATTCCCCGGTATTCCTCGTTCGATGTTGTCACCAACATCTTCGGGGTCTCCGTCCGGAAGCTCTCGCCACGGAAAATTTTATGTTCAGGTCCGACCTGGGAATCACATCGCGCCGCCCTCAGCCTACATCTACGGGGGACAGTCCAGCGTCTCCCAGGGTCGATCCGACGACGTTTGTTCGCTCTTGGATGAGCGTTCAATACCTACAAGTCAACGACAACCGTTGGCCCGATCGTAGAGGCGAAGCCCGGAGCAGCATCGTCGTCGAAAGTTCAAGCGCACACTCATCAACTTATAGACGAGACTTCAGTGACTGGCTAGATGAATGAACGGACAGTCGCTAGCTCGCTCGCTCACTCATTCGCCGGATAGCTGGTAGTAGGTATTTGAAGATGCACGAATGAATGAGGGCAGATGCTGCCGCCGCCGGCATCGAGTTGTAGCTGTCAAATTGAAGCCAAAGATGCTCTACGCCCTTCCTGGATGGCCTTCCGTTCGATGGGTGTGCATACAAGCGGCTTCACTGCGACCGTCTAAGCTCCGCGATTAAGTCCGAGAGGATCTGCGTCGAGGCCGAGCAGGCCGATTCTCACGGAACCTCGACGTCAATCCGATCGATGGGGTCCCCCACGACGCTGATGAGACAATTATCTACTCGCTGCGTGAATGTCAATCATTGACGTTGAATGATGAACTGGTTTCCTACCGGTTACCGCTGAGATGAAGAGGAACCAGCGCTTTGGGCGGCTAACCAGGCTCAGGTTTTGACCTTGTCGTTCGAGACATCTCCGAGGGGATTCGTAGCCTCGGGCGTCAGTGTTGATTAAAAACTCGGTATCTCCGCAATGTTTTTCTTCTGGGGGGAAAAAACTCCTACGGATCCGAGAGCTGATATCGGCTCGGGATAAATGCAAAAAATCCGAATCCAGCGGCATAACGTATAGCCAGAGAGCTTCGTATGTCAACTTCGAGTTGACATTGTTCTCTGAAGTCCCGCGACAGGGAACTACAGAACTCTTCTCGGAAAACGGCTGAACTTGACTGAAGTGTGGTGTCTATGTCTCCCGTGCTCAGCGAGAGACAGATCAAGCCTTTCGGCTGTGAGTTTGATCAATGTTTACTTTCGGACCACCCATCCCAAACAGGAGGTGGAACTTCCGAGAACTCGCGCCTACTCTTTCAGTCAGTTGATTCAGTCAGTAGTTCGACTAGCGAGCGAGCGAACGAGCAACCAACCGTCTGCTCGTCTTCTTCTAGTCGTTAACCGCCGAGAAGCTACGACAACTACCTATCGTAGTATTTGGCGAGTCGTCCAAGAAGCGTCCGTCGACCAACAATCTGCCACATAATTGAGCCCGGTCGACGCGATCGCTCGCCCCAATCAATTTGTCCATCATTCTATCGCCTTTACGAGACGAGTTGCTGCCACCTCATTCTTCTTCAGGAGGAGGTCGGCTCGGAAGAAGATCGGTTCCTATGTGAATAAATTCGAAAATAAAAATTAGCGGGAGTTTCGGAAAATTTTGACGCCATTGGGAGCATGCGGAATCTGAGAATGCCATCGGAATGAGCAGCGAGAGAGACGGAGGCTGGTCGTCGAGTGATTTCTCGAAAGCCTCGAACAAAAACTCGGCATCGCAAATCACGGCCCGACTGCCCCTGACTGAGAGCCGAAGCGGCCATAATTTCAAATTACGCGCTCGATTGGCGCTTTCAGAGGCGCGGCGCCTCTCGAAATGGCGAAGATGTATCGCTACACCGTGTGTTGACACCTCGTGTCAAATCAACAATCTCGCAATCGAGTCTGGGAGCAAGATTTGCAAGCATCACTGCGCTTCAATGAACCGTCCGAAGAAGTCTCTCTCGGCATTGTCGTCAACGACCCGGCGATGGAGCGGCGGCGGCAGGCCGGCCAGCCTGCGACTCATTTGGCGTCGACTACAAACCGCATATGCGGTGCATGAGCGAACAGTGTACCTATTCATGAGCCATCCGGTGCGCTGCTCAACTCGCTAACACCTCATAGAGTCGAGAAGAATGCCCTCGACGATCTCTCAGAAACGTTTTTGGTGCGGAAGGCCGCCGCTACGGACGGTGCTCGGTCACTTCGTTCTCGCCTCCAGCTCCTTCATAGTGAAAGAACCGCGTGCCGATCTCTCAATGACAATTTCACGCCAATTTTCACATCTAACAACACTGGCGCCAGACAGCTCCGTAACCACATCTAGGATAGAGCCGCAGCGCTGAAGAATGGGGATCTCAGGATCTTCACCGAGTCGTTTGACCGCTGCCGCGAGGGAACATAATTATTTTCTCTCAGGGAACAAAAGGCAGAATGACGGAAGCTCGCGCAGGGAAGCGGAAAAGATAAACAGGGAGCACTCCATTCGAGAATCTCCGGATTCCCACGGATTGATACAATGTACGACTGAGACATTCGATGGATTGACGTACGAGGGGTGAATTAATCGATCGACTGAGAGCCCCGATAAAAGCCCGGGCTCGATCCTTGATGCCTCGGGATCGACGATCGCCTCGATTTCAGTTGAGGCTTCGTGAAAGAAAAAAATACCCAGATATGAGAACTGCTGAGCAGAGCAGGCGGGCTCCGAAAGCAGAGCCCCAAAAAAATTCAGGTGACCAACTGACTCACTCACTCACTCAATGCCGGCATGAATCCGAGAACGCTTTCGACTACAGCTATGTAGTGGGTTCCAATCAATTGAGGCTTCCTTTGGTTCGTAGCGCGAACTGAGAAATGCTGTCGAGTGGCAACCCCCGGTTCCCATTCAGATCGGTCAGGCTACGGCTCTATTCGTTCAGCGATGCTCCAGATATGTGATGAGCCGATGGAGCAAATGCAGAAGACGTCCGCGTCA